AATTTGCTACCAAGCCGCTCCATTGGCCATTGTTGGCCAGTGACGGTCGGTAGAGAGCTAATCCTCCCTCGGTACGCCTGAACAGTGACGGGAGGATTAGGTCCTCTACTCTTTGGAAGAACGTTGCTCGACTATCCGTCCACTTCCATCGGGGCTGTTTTCTTACTCCCGGTAGCATTACTAGGCAACGGAGCCATGGGGTCCACCCCGCTGTCCAAACGGTCGCTTGATGATGACGAGTTCAGGCCCGTTTGCACGCCTTGCCTTCCTTCGCCGGCACTGAGGTATCCCTCCCCTGTGCGGTAAACGATGTTTGAAAGTGTTGGGATATTTCCATATCGTTGTTTGCTAGGTTTTGGTCCACCCCGAGTATTTTATTTCCTCGGTACCTGACATATCTGCTGGGCATTCCCCTATCCACCACCTGAGGAGGCGCTCGATGCGGGACCCAGCAAAGCCGACACGAGGTGTGTGTGTGTGTGTGTATGTGTGTGTATGAGTGTGTGTGTGTGTGTAAAACTCTCACAATTTTTGAACGGCTAGACCGACTTTAGCAAACTTATTGACATTCAAAAGGGTTTCACCAAACTTAGATTTTCAATGCTTGTTCAACCGGTTTGCAACGGCAGATTTTGTAGAAAACGGTAGAAAACTAATTATCAACAAAAAATTTCATTCACTATACTTTCATGTAGTCCGCAAGAGAGTGCCAAAAGTAAATTATCTAGTTTAATTTTTTTAAGCAGTGTTTAGAGTATTTACAGCCAGTCTAGTATCCTTCTTCAGTGCATTTTACATGTGTTTCAAATAAACAAACCGATATATTCAATTGGCATTTGTTGTCACTGGTCCACACTGAATTACCGACACTAGACTGTACTACATGCTCTTAAAGATTAGAAATCAAAGAAAAAATAAACAGGTTTTTTGTGGCTGGTTTTGTTTTAATTATTAGCTTCTTAACTGAGAAAATTCTTATAATTTTGAAATTATTATATAGTCCCTCGGCTGAAGAGGGAATCCCGTATGCACTTTTAGGTCCCCGGATTTTGATTAATGATATTTACGTATTTTTTGCCGAGGTTCGTGATAAACTAGGTTATTTTGGTCGCCGATGGTAAGTTTAATTGTTAATAACAATTTAATTGTTTATAACGATATAAATCAAGAAGGACTGATTTGAGGGGGAAGTTTATTTGAAAAAAAAGTTTTAAAATTAAAAAACCAACAAAAAATGTCCTTATCATTTTTTTGATAAAATGAATATTTTCGGAGATAGCGCAAAAAACAACAAGTAGCGGTTGGACCTCTCTGTCGCGCGCACGCATCCCACGGACTCTAGCGACGAACGACAGGCACAGAAAAATACAGAGACGAAAAAAAAATTCCATTCTCGGTGTCAACTGAAGATTAAGAAAAGAAACTCATAGATATCATAGAGGAGACTCTATGGAAGATTTCCAGACCCATAATCGATAGATCCACCTCATAGACACCGAGTAACAGCCCCACAAAAGGGAGTTTTTTAATTAAATTGACGGAATTTCGACTTTAAAAAATTCAATCCTCGGTGTCCTCCGGAGATTATGGAAGAAAACTCATGGGAATCTTCTAGGACACCATACAGAAGATTTCCAGACTCATAATCAATAGATTAACACCATAGACACCGAATAACAGCCCCATAAAAGGCGTTCTTTGACTTATTTGTCGAGAATTTAAGTTATAAAAAATTCAGTTCTCGGTGACTACTGTATATTAAGGAAGGAAACTCATGGAAATCTTTTAGGACACTATACAGAAGATTTCCAGACTCATAATTAATAGATTAACCCTATAGACACCGAGTAACAGCCCTATAAAGGGGGGTTTTTTAATTAAATTAACTGAATTTCGACTTTAGAAAATTTTAATTAAAAAAACCCTCTTTTATAGGGCTGTTAATCGTTGTCTATGGGGTTAATCTATTGATTATGAGTCTGGAAATCTTCTGTATAGTGTCCTAGAAGATTCCCATGAGTTTTCTTCCTTAATCTCCGGAGGACACCGAGGATTGAATTTTCTAAAGTCGAATATCCGTCAATTTAATTAAAAAACTCCCTTTTGTGGGGCTGTAACTCGGTGTCCATGGGGTTAATCTATTAATTATGGGTCTGGAAATCTTCTGTATAGTGTCCTAGAAGATTCCCTTGAGTTTCCTTCCTTAATCTCAGGTGGACACCGAGGATTGAATTTTCTAAAGTCGAAATTCCGTCAATTTAATTAAAAAATTACCTTTTATGGGGCTGTTACTCGGTGTCTATGGGGTTAATCTATTGATTATGAGTCTGGAAATCTTCTGTATAGTGTCCTAGAAGATTCCCATGAGTTTTCTTCCATAATCTCCGGAGGACACCGAGGATTGAATTTTTTAAAGTCGAAATTCAGTTAATTTAATTAAAAAATTCCCTTTTGTGGGGTTGTTACTCGGTGTCTATGGGGTGGATCTATCGATTATGGGTCTGGAAATCTTCCATAGAGTCTCCTCTATGATATCTATGAGTTTCTTTTCTTAATCTTCAGTTGACACCGAGAATGGAATTTTTTTTTCGTCTCTGTGTTTTGCTGTGCCTGTCGTTCGTCGCTAGAGTCCGTGGGATGCATGCGCGCGACAGAGAGGTCCAACCGCTACTTGTTGTTTTTTGCGCTATCTCCGAAAATATTCATTTTATCAAAAAAATGATAAGGACATTTTTTGTTGGTTTTTTAATTTTAAAACTTTTTTTTCAAATAAACTTCTCCGTCAAATCAGTCCTTCTTGATTTATATCGTTATAAACAATTAAATTGTTATTAACAATTAAACTTACCATCGGCGACCAAAATAACCTAGTTTATCACGAACCTCGGCAAAAAATACGTAAATATTATTAATCAAAATCCGGGGACCTAAAAGTGCATACGGGATTCCCTCTTCAGCCGAGGGACTAATAGTACTATTTCATTAACTTTTTTTTTTTTTCAGGCTTATCAAATCTCCCTCACGGAAATATAAATACAAAGATATAATTGCATTGGTAGCTAATTATTCACTAGCAGATGCCTCTATGATAAAAAATCATTTGAGTAAACATCCTCATTGGAGACATGTAGATTTAGTAACAGTTCACGAAACTTTAAAATATCTTGCAGAATTATTTGACTCTGCTGATATTTTTGACAATTTGACTTTGATTTTTTATCCACGGTAATGAAAAATTATAAAATTGACACTCAGATATGCATGCAATTTAATAGATTTATTTTTACTTAATATTACTGGTTTTGATTATTTCGACAGAAATATCATCCGAGATACAGTAACGAAATTAAAATACATCAATCGTTCATTAACATCAGCCGACCGCTATTCATTACCTCAAATATTGGCACTATGCGAGTATGAAATTGAAAAAGATTTTCATTTTAGTGGAAACGGAATATGGGAACGCATCGAGACTAATTCTACAAATCCGGAACAAATAAAACATTATGATAACAAAGAATTGATTAATTATTTACCTAAAGATTCAATTAAGAATCTAAGTAATTTTCAATTTGTTAATACAATAAAATAAATACATTTTGAAGTAATCATTTTGTACTTTTTATTTATATAACAGAAAATAAACCTTGACATTATATATCTAAATTTATTGTTCAAATAATCGTTATAATTTATTTTTATAACAAAATAATTTTATAACAAAATTTAATTTCAATCTCGAGTAAAAAATTTTTTATTTTAATTAACATATATGCCTTGAATTGCTATGCTACGGAAGAAAAATTTTATTTCTCTACGAAAAAAATAATTGAGTGAACAGGATGAAATTTTCTTAAATTGAAAAAAAAAACGAAGCTGGATGCTAAATTTTTGTTAGACTATTTTTTAAATTCGTGCGGTAGTATAGCTGACAAAAATATTTTTCTAAAATTTCTCAACTAGGAACTCAAAATTTCAACATCCTTATTTTTTTAGAGATACAGCCTTTCGAGAATCGCTATATCCAACTAAAAAATTTTTTTTCCAATACACTGAAAAAAAAGTTTTTTGTTCTGGCCTATACGATATTGCTACTGTCACGATACAGACGTTGCTATCTAGAGGATAGTGAGGTTAGGAAATCTGTATACTAACGTTAGCAATAGTATCGGGAATTGCATCCGAATGGATCGTGACGGTCGCTATTCAGACTGTTACTCGTAGTTATACGGGTTGTACCTGGAATGATATACTCGTTGCAACGTAGTAAATGGTGCCGAACAGAAAACTTTTTTTTTAGTGTAGCTTACAATAAAAGCTTTTAAGGCATAAATAATAATAATAATAATAATAATAATAATAATAATAATAATAATAATAATTTATATAGTATAAATTGAAGATCGGTGTTTTTACTTATCGAACAGATAAGTAGTTATTTTTAGTCAAAGTACCCAAAGTAGCCAAAGTATTAGGTGACTAAATAGTAATTACGGACAGTATCTCGGATAGCTTAACCGGTAGAGCCTTTGATGCGTAACCAAAAGATCCGGGTTCGAGTCCTGGTCTGGGTTGTCCAAATTATTTTTACGGTTACCGAAAAATTCTCACTAGGTAAGGTCAACCCTTTCCTCTTCTCCTTTCTTTCCCCAATTCACAAAGATTTTCTTCAATGTCAAATTTAGCTTGAATTATTTTAAATTTTCACCTGAGGGTGGTATGAGATTTCATACCGAAACGTTGAGGTTGAAAAATTAATAAAAAAGTTGAATAACGTCTACACATTAGATCGGGTATTTTGGCTAAAAATAACTACCTATCTGTTTAATAATAATAATAATAATAATAATAATAATAATAATAATAATAATAATAATAATAATAATAATAATAAGGGCGTAAAAATTTTATATTTACGTTAGTGTAACAGTGATTACAGAATAGAGTGTTTTACTGGGATGATGGGTTATATCTAACTCGGAACCTGAGGGCCCGAGTTAATTCAAAAAAGACGGAAGCACATAACTTTGTTGTCCGGTAGGTTCACTTTTAACAAGGACTTCATCTTTAATAGCTTGACGAGTAGAAGGTGGTGATGATGATATACCGTATCCTTGTTTTTGATGAGAAGATTCTTGAGATTGTTGATGATGATGAGACGTATAATCTGATTGATCATGATGATATTTGTCAGTTGGACTGAGACCAGCTACGTATTCAAGTTGTTTGTTTTGTTGATGTTCATCTTCTGACATAGAATTAACATTTCCGCTTGAACCAAGATGATTTGAGTGTTGAGGCGAGTGTGCTGATACCATACTTTGGTAATCAGCTCGCATTAGAGCTGGTGGTGGGCTATTATTAGTTGCAGTCATATAATCTTGATGAACACGCATTGTGTTATTTGAAGGTGCAGAAAAAAGTGATGTGTCGTGTTGTGGTAGCATTGTCGCGTAAGAATATGCAGATCCATTATTACTTGGGCCTGCGAAGGAACTTGAATATGGTGAATTTGAAGGACTGAGAAGATTAAGATGAGGCGCGAGGTCATAAGCTGGAGAATAAGCCCAGGCATCTGGTGGTGTTGCTGTTGCAACATTTGTGCTTGAAGTGAAAGGGTTGAGGCTATTATTTAATGAAGAAAATGATCCTGTTAACCCAGGACTTGCTGAACCGGCGGTCATATACCCTGCAGTTTTGCGAGGTGGCTCTCTCTTACGCCATTTGGCTCGACGGTTTTGGAACCATACTTGAACTCGTGATTCCGAAAGAGCTAGCTTAAGTGCCAGCTCTTCTCTTGCAAATACATCCGGATAAGGAGCACGTTCAAATGCCCGCTCTAATTCTTCTAATTGATACGCAGTAAAAGTTGTTCTATAAAAAAAAAAAGTTTTTTTTTTAGTTTTATGATTCAGTGTGTAGTTCAAAAAATCTAACGGATCATACTGAATTTAAATATACCTTGTTTTCTTTTTTTTAATTCCATTGTTGTCAGCTTTCTTTTTTGAATCTTTCTTAGGAGGTTGAGAATCGCTTGTAACTAAAAGTAATTTTCACGTCAATTTCGATGAAAAAAAAAAAATTATAATTAATTCATTGAAGCAATTTGTATTTTCTCACCATGTGCTATTGAATTAATTGAATCATCGGACTTCCGCTTAAGAGTATTGTTTAAATGAAGATTTTGTTGCAGAGCTATAGAACTAGACGTTGGTGAAGCGGTAGTTGATGTGGTAACATCTTGAGTTTGTGTTGAAGGTGAATAAATTCCAGTGAGTTCAAGATCCTTGAGCTCTTTTTGTTGTTGTTGTTGTTGCTGTTGTTGTTGCGGTTGTTGCTGCGATTGTTGTTGTGATTGTTGTTGCTGTATTGATTGAAGATGATGAGGATTCTGATGATGAGAAGGTGAGCCGTCAGATGAGTCAAGTTTGTGTAAATGACCACCTGGTGGTATAAGATCTGCAGTATGAGATGTTCCATGTAATCCTAACATCACTTGAATACTATGCACTCCAGAACCAGTACGGCCACCAAAATCAGAAAATAGTTGGTCGTCAAAAGGGCCACCTTCCATAATCTTGCTAAATAATTTGTTATTCTCTGTTCAATCTATTAATTGGAACAAAAATGAAACGAAGTGCTGTTGAAAGGTTCAACTCTTGATGCACAGATAATCCAAACAAATCAACTCTTGAGTATAATCAACCAGATTCATATAAATAAAAGCTCACTTAATTTATGTGTAATATAAATGCGTCATTTATGCTTTATAGAAATAAAAACAATTATTTATTTAATACCGTCATGCAAAAATATAAAAATACTTAATTACGATTATTCGGTAAATTCGTTTTAGGTCAACGCGGTAATAAAATCTCAACCAATTGCGATCAATTATTGTTAGTTATGATCAATTTCGATTAATTTTAAGCAGTGTTAACGAAATGAACTAGATATGATAGACCTTGGTAAACGACTGATGAGCTTGTCAAGCTTACAGCACGGTCAGTCGTCCGAACTGAGAGAACTGAGCTAATGATACTACACTCACACACATTTATATTTAAAGGATGGTTTGTGGCACCGCCCACGATGTCGAATGAATGATTGGCCAATGAGAATAGCTTGTAAAGATGAGTCCAAAGCACGAGAGGCTAGCGATATCAAAAGATATACGGGTATGATACTGCCTACCATTGCTGGGAACAAACGAGAGAGATTTCTTCTTAGCCCTATACTTGCTTTTCTTTTATTGTGAATTATTATTTTGTGGTTCTTCGGCTTGGTAGCATTGACAATACTTACTTTTAAAATTATTTCTCGAACCCCAATTTACGAAAGGAATTATAGTATCAGAATATCATTAAAGAGGTGTGCGTTTGTTTTATAGAATTGTGATTTCTTGCAAATAATAAGCTTTAATAATTATGATAAAGACCATCTAGTGTGGACGACGGACAGCCTGCTACTGATGTTGAGTACTTGAGTGAAGACTGCCTCAATGAAAGCAAGTAATCGTCAGGAATTGCCTCGAATTGGTTCAATCAAACTACCCCCATTCTCTTCATATTTATCTATGGATGGATGTATATATTAATTTGATAACTGTTAATTAAGCTATAAGAGTTATACATTTCAAAAGCATATATATTGAATGACAGTAAGTTTTATCAAAAAGGTCATTGAGAATTAGTATACATCCCATAAAACTTAAAAATTAATCGCATTGTAGGAGTATACCAAGAAGAAAAAATCAGGTTGATCGATTCTTTTCTATATCTCTGTAGTTCTATACGATACATACGGGAAGAGAATACAATAAGTTAGCGACTTAACTGGCATAAATGGCTTTAACTCGATGTGATTTTACTGGTGAACCACTAAACTGAACGAATACGAACTAAAATGAACTCAACTAAGCTAATCATATCACATTACTGGTTGTTATTAGCCGAGGCACGATATAAGTGAAGGTTCGGTGATGCCAGACTGCAGTACCGGGTGGGTCGCGTCTTGCACTGACCCTCGCTCTATCTCTCTTACTCTTATTTTTTATCGATTTTTCATCGATTTTATGCAACTTGTTACTTTCCGTCTTGTTTTTTCACTCAGTTTACAGCATAAAATTCGTTCAAAGTGTTATATTTTTCAATCAAATACTCTATTTATATTTACTACATACGAATTTTATAGTTAATAAGCAAAATTTTAATCTTAGTGCATAAGTGCATAGGTGTAGAGTGGAATAACAACTACAGTGATCGAATTTCATTTGAGTGTACTTTTCTTCTCGCTGAAATATTTAATTTTTATTAAAATTCTATTAATTTGAACTTTCTTATCGTTTTAATCAATTCAAGTTTAAATATAAAAGTTATAAAAACAACTCTGTTTGATACAAAAATCATATGTGCATTCAAAGCAATTATGCTTATGAGATGAAATAGCAACACATAAGTATCTCCCACTTAGATATAGAGTAAGAGGAGGAGTATACCTGACTCCACCTCTTATTATTACATGGATCTATTGGTGCCGTGTGCTCGTTATATTTATTTCTCATTTGTTATCAATCGTTTTTATTGTATTTTATTGTAAAAAATAAATTATAAAAATATTTTATCACAATCAACGATGTTTATTATTTCTGTTTTGTCATCATTATCTAATAGTGTTTAATAAAAACAATAACGTTATTAGTATTTTGAAGTTGATCTAAGAACATTATTTAATTTAAATAATTTCTTGTTAAGAATATATTAAAAGAATACAATTACGATAAATATTTCATTTCAAAAGTACACAAAAATAAAAATAAAGTTTTTAAGCTGTCGTTAGTTAAAAAAAGCATGAATAGTCATCTTCATGTGTATAGTTTAATCGGACTTGTCAACTAATTCAGCGAGTTAAACTTAATTGATCTCAATTGCTTCAATTGAACATAATTGTACGACCGTAAGGGGGAAGCTTTACTGAAACTAAAATCATTTGTACAACTTTTATATAACTCACCAAAGCTACTTTATAAAATAATCTATATATATACTCTTTATGTTTCGATATGCATTTCCTTTTGTTTTTTTTTTTTTTTTAATAATTTTATAACTGAGTTTTCGGTTGTTATCAATGAATTTTATGTGCAATGTGAATTTAAAAATGGAATTTTACGATAAAGTAAAAGAATGTATAATAAATCAACGATCAATTTAATGGGAGGAAAAAAGTATTAGAGTATATCCCACGCAAGTGTCACTGTAATTCTATGAGTATACACATAATGCGTGAGAACGCCCGCACTATTTACAGTGCCACCATCATCGTTCATATAATTTAATTTCTCACGATACCACATTTTTGATCTAGCCGAATTTTTGAAATGAAAGTAAAAAGAAAAAATATCCCGCATCACTTACATGTATCTCTGACTTTACCGTCATGTGTTGATAGTCAGATGTTAAAATTTTGGTACTCTGCGGGCGGTCAGTTCGTGTCCTAACTTTTATGTATCTATATATTAAAGCAATAAACCCGTAGCTAAATTAATACCGCGGATTGTTATGCACCCCTATCTTACTGCTTTACTTTCTATATTAGGATTTTTCTACAAAAAAAAAAAGTTTTGTGGGGTAAATTATGTTTGGAAGTAGTATATTATTTGCGGTAATTGTTTGGCGTCAACATTCCTTTTTTTAACTATCAAAATTCGACTAAATAGTTCCATAAGCTTCAATAAATATACGATTGAAGGTAATAATTAGCATTCTTTAAAAAAAAATTTTTTTTGTGTAATTACATCATGTTTCATCTTTGTTTACTAAATCGTAATACTTAAAGTTATATTGTATGTTCAATAATCATGAGTATATCCATACAGCATATGATGTATATTAATTTTGTATACACAATATTGTCATTTCAATATGTGAAGAGCATATATAGTCGAGAATGAGCATAAAATCGGTTGATTCATTCGGGAAATTCTCAATTCAAAATTTTTTAAAAAGTGTTTTTTCAATACAACTCCTTGATTATTGAGCTCGAAAATGTATACAAGTGGTGTTTGTTAACTCGAAGAGCGCAAAACTTCGTAATGGGCTAATTCTTGAGAGTTTTAAACTCGAATATAGTGGAAAATTCCAGGGATCGACTGCAGGGTCAACCATTTTTCAGATTTTTTTTCTCAAAAAACTGCGGTGAATTGTTCGCTTGATTAAAATAGAGCTATTAATTTCAGAGACACCGTTGTCTAAAAATTTCCAAAAAGTATTTTTTCAAAATAACCTAACTTTCCAATACATCAAATTTTGATCGATCATATCACTAGAATTTCGCGCGCGCGCACGTGTGTGTGTGTGTGTGTGTGTGTGTGTGTGTGTGTGTGTGTGTGTGTGTGTGTGTGTGTGTGTGTGTGTGTGTGTGTGTGTGTGTGTGTGAAGCTCTTATAAGAGGGCATCCATTAATTAAGTGAGATTTTTAGGGGGGTAAGAGGCTCGAGCTAAACCTCACCCAATCTCACGTGAGAGTGGTCTCAGCAAATGTCGCGTAATTTTTTTCTGCAAGAAGTAGTATAAAATTTTGAGAAAACTGAGTTAAATTAAGTAAACAATGTTTCTCCACTAAAATATACTGATCGAAGACCCGACTAGAATTTTAGTAAGGCATGCCGAAAAATCAGTTCGGGGCGAAGTTGACTTTCCGAACTTAGGCTAGCCCAATTCGGATCTTATTTGTTTTAAATTAGGCAAGCCAAACATTGGTATGCCAAAAGAATTCCACATTCGATGTAATCTCGTAATAGTTTGGCACTGCCTAAGTTCGGCATGTTATTGATTGCCTAATAAGTACGAAATAACGGTAACCAAATGCTTACCGAAGTTTGGTTCACCAAGCTCGGACTCACTTCGAAAAATCTGTGGCAATGCCTAAGTTCGGCATTTCATGGGTTGCCAAACTGTTATGAAATAACGGTAACCAAAGGTTTACCCAAGCTTGGTTCATCAAGCTCGGGCTCACTTAGGCAAACCTGTGGCACTACCTAAGTTCGGCATGTTATTGATTGCCTAATAAGTACGAAATAACGGTAACCAAATGCTTACCGAAGTTTGGTCACCAAAGCTTGGACTCACTTCGAAAAACCTGTGGCAATGCCTAAGTTCGGCATTTCATGGGTTGCCAAACTGTTATGAAATAACGGTAACCAAAGGTTTACCCAAGCTTGGTTCATCAAGCTCGGGCTCACTTAGGCAAACCTGTGGCACTACCTAAGTTCGGCATGTTATTGATTGCCTAATAAGTACGAAACAACGGTAACCAAATGCTTACCGAAGTTTGGTTCACCAAGCTCGGACTCACTTCGAAAAATCTGTGGCAATGCCTAAGTTCGGCATTTCATGGGTTGCCAAACTGTTATGAAATAACGGTAACCAAAGGTTTACCCAAGCTTGGTTCATCAAGCTCGGGCTCACTTAGGCAAACCTGTGGCACTACCTAAGTTCGGCATGTTATTGATTGCCTAATAAGTACGAAATAACGGTAACCAAATGCGTACCGAAGTTTAGTTCACCAAGCTTGGAC